AATCAAGTTATCTAAATTCGAGTTACTAAATCTTACCTCCGCTGCTTTTGTTTTGGAGTCCCAGACATGTATGCTCTCTATCTCTTCTACCTTTTTATCTTCAAGTACTGGTGTCTTTTTGTCTAAATATGATATCATAAATGTTTTGTTTTAAAAATGCATAAACTGTTGTTACTTGAGGGTAGGTGGATGCTGTGCATTTGCTGTCCAGTAAAACTACTCTCTCCAGATGCAGAAAATGGTGATAGAGGGAGAGGGAGAGGGAGAGGAGAGGGAGAGTTTCAGTGATGAAATTGAAGAAGGCTTATTTACTTTATGTGCTTTCAATAGTGAGTTTAGTAGGAGAGCTCCAGAGTTAATATCTACTCCCTCCTTTCCATATTATAGTTCACTTTATCTTTGTCCTAACTCCTAAGTCAAAGTTCTTAAACTTCGACCAAGTTTATAGAAAAATGCACCAACATACAGCATCAAATTAATTTCATTGTAACTGAACTTGTAGAATTTTGTATATTTTTCTAAAAATAAAAACTTGGTCAAAGTTACATAGGTTTGACTTAGGACAAAACTTAAGTGAACTGTAATTGGGAACGGAGGGAGTAATAAGAATCATAAATATGTCATCACTTGCAGATGAAATTCTGTACTTCTGTGTAGCTGCCCTAACCAGGACCTAAATGGCTAGATAATACAATGTTTGTGTTGTTTTATGTCTTAGGTAAACTTGGCCTCCACCTGTTTTTCATGAGCTTCAAGAGTGGCAAGAAGATTGTTTTCATCATCGACATGACAGACTTGAACCGGTTCGTCAACCACAACTAAATCTTCTTTCTACATTGATCTACTTGTTGCTAAAACTTGTTTGATTTGAAACAGCTCGGTCTACCCTTCTGATCCATCTGAGTTACCCATTAAGGTTTGCGAAGCACGGACAACGCTACCACAGCCAAGCATAGACGTGACCATGGCTTGTATAAGGAACCTGCAACCTGGTCGCACAGTGATACTAAGGTTGTGCCGGATGGTATCCCGGCTGATTCATGGTTTACAATGATGACCTGATCAGTGGAGTGCAAGATGTAGGAAGTAAACATCATCTGGATATGTAGGCAGTAGGCATTACCAGTGTTAGTTCTTTGCATACAGGCTTAAGATGTTTGAATGCATAAACCAGTCCTTTTCAGGTGGACGTGCAAGTGTCACGACGTAAATATATGAGTGGGTTTGTTGCTTTTTTTGGTGTAAAAGAGTGGGTTTGTTGCTTTTGTTGCTGAAAGTGGGGTAACATCTGTATCCAAGTGATTTTGGTTACTGCAAATCCTTGTAACTGCCCGTTCATTACAGCAACAATGCAGAACTCGTAGCTTTTCTACTTTCGTTATAAATATATATGTTGTCGTTTGCGTTTTTTTGTTTACCGAGCATGGTGAGTTAGAATGTGATGAGTCGCAGTCTTGCAGATATGTCTAATTAAGTAAAGGTGCCAGGTTAAGCTTCTGTCCCCGCAGCTGGAAGTGTTGCTGAAAGATTGTGATTTTGAAAATTCTATTTCTTTCATTCATCATTTTGTTTTTCGTCCCCGCAGCTGGAACCATTGCTGAAAGAGGATTGTAACACGTGTGCGCGTCATACACGTACAGGACAATATTAACACGTGTTCTGCAGACTCGTTACAAGGAAAGGTATAGAAGAAGAAAAAAAGATGCTCTTCCCCTTCCCCTGTATACAATACAGCGAAGACAAATGAGAGGGGACAAAAAGAAAAGGGCTAAAAATATTTGGCCATGCACTCGATGACGTGTTTGCACCTGCGCATTTGCGGTAAGGGCGTACGAACGCTCGTCGCCCGCCCGCGTCGCGTCGTCATACGCCGCCGGGCTTCTTGCTCATCTCGTGGAGGCCGGAGCCGACGGAGCCGCCGCCGCCGCCGCCGATGCCGCGGTGGAGCCTGCACCGGAACGAGCCCGCGTGCAGGGTCGGCGAGCAGAGGCACGCCCGGGGGCTCGCCGGCTGCTTATTCGTGGCCGTCCGCGGCGTCGAGGCGGCGCCCAGCTGCTTGCCCCCCGGCGACGCGCCGGCGGCGTGGAGGAACAAGGCCTTCTTCTCCGGCACCGCGATCTTCTCGATCGACGCCGGCCTGTGCAGTTGCAGATGATGATCCCCCATGGCAGGTCCAACACACCCCTAACTAGAGGTGGCGTTCTTGATTGATTCGCCGGCCTCTGTCCACTGACAAACCGGTTCCGTCACATATATAAATTAAAAATTGATCAAACAAGCAAGAACCGTATCAAAAAAAAAAAATGCAACGAACACTTTATTACATACTTATAAATCGAAACACAAGAAAAATAAGAGAAACAAGAAGACGGGCATAAAAGATTTAAAATTACCTACCCTGAATATATTTGAAATCAACAATGTATGGAGTTGATTAAACTACTAGAGCTACTAAATTAATCTCTATGGGTTATATATGTTGCTGTATGTAGTAGTAGCGAAATGGCGAGGGGGGGCTAAAGAGAGTGATTTATCGATGCAAAAGCCTATTTAAAGATGAAAACAACTATTTTTATCGTGTATTCACGATACTTGTGGATCAGATATCCATGCATGCGCATGAGCAATCAAGCTGCTGAGCCTGAGCTGGAGTTTCACTATTTTGAGGCCAGTTTATATTTGGGCTCTGTAAATGTATCCTGTTTTTTTTTCTTTTACCAAAAAAAAAACTTAATTGTGTTGTGGAAAATATGTTACTTAGATTCCAAGTTGTTGAAGTCGATCATAGATTGGCCAACAACGGAAAGGTTGTGGGCCCTCTTTGGAGGACAATGATCAAGAAACAGAGGAATATGGTTGCTGGCTCAGCGGAAAATAGAAATAAATGAGCTAGTGCGTTATCAAGGTTGTTTGCATTTGCATATGACATAGATAGAAATGCACTACGACGGAAACGAACATCAAAGACGATTCAAGAATCAAGATGCACATAACAAATTTCTTCTTTTATATTTGTATACTTTCTGCGCTAGGGTTATTATATAGTACACGTGCTGATGTAATCCATCCATCCTAAAATAAATACAATTCTTACTTTCAAGAAGTCAAACTATTTTAATTCTAACCTTATACTGAAAACTCTAAACATTTATGATACCAAATAAATATTATTTTTATAGTGAACCTATTTAGAGACATAAAGATTGGTATTATTTTCTATAAACTAGATCAAACTCAAAAAAAGTTTATAACTCATCTCAAACATAGAACTACTCCCTCCATCCCAAAATAATCGGCATTACGCTTCTTGAGGATAAGTCTGACTAGTTATATAGAAAGTAGTATCAATATTTATATCTCCACATAAGTTTGTTATGAAAGTACATTTCACGACCTATATAATGATGGGTATTACATATCATGAATGTTAGTATCACTCAGAGCTCTCGAGTTCTTAGGCCTTACTCGCACAAAGATGCATTATTGTCTATCCTAGCTTTGGTTGTGATCTTGCTCTAACTTATGATAGCCTTGAGGCACTCTAGCACACTCAACCAAGTGAGACAACCTCCATATATATAACTCCATACTCCTTAACTAGCCATTGGAAAAAGTCTGTCAGAAAACTGTGAGCACCGTACAACCTGTTGCCTTCTAAAGATGCGCCGTCAAACCATACAGTGCTATTAGCCGTTGGCTTTTTCCAAACACCGGATGATCCATTGACTTCTACATTTTAATTTTTAACGTGGGATCGTTTGATGAGTGTAATACTCCCATTGGCCACCTTAATGATTATCACCAGATGATCCGTTGCTGCTCATTTTTTCCTTCACCAGATCGCCCAGCGCCCTTTATCAAACTGGGCTACCTAGGGGCCAAGTCATTGGTGTGCACCGGATGATCCATCGATGTGCACTTCTTCTCACATTGTTGTCCGGCGCATGCAATCTTTCTTAGGTACTTCTATTCATCAATCATCTGGCGTGTGCATTCCCTTTGCTGCCAGATCGTCTGATGATTATTTGTTCTCCGCACTTGTTTCTTTTTGTTCCGTTTTTTGCCGGTCTTCGCACCATTTGTTCTCTTGCATCCCTAGGACCTATTATAACATATCTAACATTTGTCTGTCAGTCTTACATTATAACCCTTCTCTTATATAAGCTGAAATACATTTTTTAAGAAACTATATAGCATCCCTTCGATCTGCATATTAGCTGAAAAATCATATTTCAAATTTCTTCATGAAGTCCATCGCAAAATATTCCTTCAAAAACTAATGCATTTTTCTCCTAACCAATATTTCCTGCTGATCTGTACATACTCATGCATCGAGGAAATTCAACAGAAAGAAAGGGCAAAGCATACTCTGAATTTGATCTTACATATTTTCCCCATTTTTTTCTATTTTACATCCATGAGCGAAAGTTAGATTCCTTTAACTATATATGTCAGCTGGACATACACAACTCTGCGCCCACTTTCTGTGAAGTGTTTCTGAAACAATCTATTTACATTGAAGCACTTTGAGCTCTCATCTCTGTAAGATTTCTACCGGCAATGCAAGAGCGCTGAAGCAGGTGACACCATTGAACAGGAAGAGATCACAAACAGCTATCCACTCTGCTGGGTTCTTCATACGCATTTGATTCATGCAATGCCCAATATATTTTTGGTGCTGTACGGATGTTAGCTTGTACCTGAAAGCCGTTGTGCAAAGAAAATAAATCAATACTTCAATAGCATCCATGGCTGAGATTAAAGGAACATGATTGTTTCAGAGATCAATAAACTGAAAGCAGGATCATTTTATTTAGCTTCTACACAGTATGCCTGTACTAAAAATTAACTTGGTTGACTGCAAGGCAATGTAACCATATGAATTATTGACGACATACTCTTATCAATTCTTACCTGCATGCTACTTAATTTTGGGGCACTCCTTGGAATTGCTTTGATGTGAATTTTGTAATACTTTTTGTATGTGATACTGATAACAATTAAGCAGCAGTGGGACCAGTTGCTGCATTAAGAAGGCTACCGTTTTTTGATGTAAGCTCCTTCTCGACTTCAGCAAAGAGTTCCTTCAATCTATTTGAGGTATTGGAAATAATAGTCTTCGTGACCTTCTTCTGCTGCTTGGTACTCTTTAACCAGGCAATCCCCAACAAAACCAGCATACTGCATGTATTTGGTTTCGAAGGTATATTCGTGATATAGTACTTCATCTGGAGCTGCATGATCACACGAATCATATTTTAAAGCGAGTTAAAGAAAAACACAAAAGCTCCAAAAGAAAGTAGAACAAATGGTGTATAGAGGAGTGTCTTACATTGAAGTAGTCTGCAAGCAGAACACCTTGGAGGGTCATCACCTTTTCAATGGCCCATCCATCTTGGTTGACCAAGCTATACTTCTGCTCAGTGGTGGTCGCTTCTCCTCCGTACCGAGACAAGTTTTTGTCGAACTTATAGCTTGTTTGCCGCTGCTGTATATTGCATCCTACAAGTTCCCATTGTGTGGCAGTGTAGTCTATACAACCGGCCTTTTGCATCATTTTGTGCTCCAGGGGACCTCCTGAAAACATCTCCATCAAGGACTCGACCTGCAGAAGCAGATACTCCTATGGACGCTCAAAACAAATTACGTGTTTTGTAACACCATTTGCAATGTAAAAAGCAGCACTCACATCAACAGAAAGAACTGATGAAAATATTTCAGACATTTTAACATCCACATTAGTGAACAAGGATCCGCCTTCTTCAGGCAGTAGTTCTTTCACTTCATCTTTTTCGATCGCCTCCCCCTTCTGTTCTGGACTGAGTGCTCGAATTTTCCAAATTGCTGTGATTATCCTGTGAGATAAAGGTTTCTTGATGTGATTTATTCATTAGAGAAATAGCAGAATTGTTTGGTGAGTGGTATTCGTGGGAAAACAGTAATCCAGATTAAGTGCCTAAGTACCGGTTCTACAATTGGTCGAAAGAATTCATGAGTTTTGTGTAAGTATATGAGAACCTTAATATGAATCAGTAACATGTTTTTACATTCAAAAAATCAATAACATGTTTTCTAAAATAGTTTGTAAATACAGTCAACGTCCAACGCTCAACAAAACCCATGAGCATCAATCTAATCAAGAACTCATAAAAAATCTAATCAAGAACTCCTCAAAGCAAAATATAAACAATCAAAGATACATTTAGGCCAAATGTCTTATCAGATTTTAAAAGGTAAGAAATTGAATCTACCTGTAAGCATCATTGAAGGAAACAAAAGATTGGAAATTAAATTTGAGTCTTCCATGATGATCTGTTCCCTTGGCACCATGTTTTGCTTCTAAACCTCTATCCTTTCGAAGGATGATCATCAAAGACGGGCTACCGATTGACAGTGTAGCAGGGATAACCTGGATGTCATCGACGTCCTCCCACAAAAAGAAAAACTTGGTTTTGTGTCCAAATATGTTGGCATAAAATCCAACTATTCTTGGAGAGAAAAAGAGGCGGCCCTAAATTACATGAAAAGGGACAGATTTTAGTATCAACAAATGGAAATAGATATTGGCAAGAGTCAAATGGACCATCAACCAGCGCAGAGATATAGTACTAATTCACAATAAAAATAGTCAAGCAACATATGGAATATATTGCAACATTCAACAAAGCACTCCAAACATAAGAAATCAATTTGGACACTCGGAGGTTCCATTTCAAATAAAGGACTAACAATAATAATTGAGCCATAACAACCTGAAGTGGCATCTTCCGTTTCAGATGGCAGGTGAAATCGTCGATGAGGAACTCTTCTGGAGGGAGGGCAAACAGCTTTCGGAATGCTACATTTGTTTGGGTTGACCGCAAATTTATCTGCATATATGTCCTACATTACTATGACAACTGAATACGGAGTATACTGATTAGCTTCTCACAATAGAACTGCTAAATTCCTTACCTTCTTACCAACTTCTTTTCCCATCTTTGCTAGGTAATTCATGACAACTTCAGTCCCCCTCGAGTTGTTCAAAAATATTCTCAAATGCAATTTAGGGTTACTTGCTTGATCACACTTCCCATTGAGAGGAAGCCATATGTCAGTTAATTCTGACAAATTGTTTTTCAAAAAGTTGACTTCTGTGTGACCAATGACACATTGTCCGCTCGAATCATGAATAGCAACATCCATCCTTGATGGAGGATCATCCATAGCATCAAATTCGAATATCTCTAGAAAGGTAGATATCAAATGAGTCAGAAAAACATAAGTTTAGGTAGGACCACTGCACTGGTAAAATTGAATTCCAGCTCATCACGGTTGAGAACAAAGGAAAAAAGGGAGAAGTGAAAGTAACTAACCGTTCCATTTTGGATCTGATGTCTGAAATTTAATTGAGCTTGTTTTCCTCTTAGCATTGCATGTAAAAACAACATAGATATCAAATAGGTCAGATGAACCAGTAGCTGTAATACCAGTGCCTTCGATGAGTGCAACAGTCAACAACCAACCATCACCGTGAGCTTTGACCCCATGGTCACTACCTAATACAGGAAACAGAGTCGATATGCTTAAGCCAAGTGAAACAAATGGAACCAAAACAAGTATGTCGAACAGAGGTAGCTATTTGGGGACTGTACTCCTGATATCCCTTTTCAACTTGGTGGAAAAGAGATTTCAGTGAAGAATTTGGTCAAGTTTGCACTAAGGCCAAGCCCAGCAGACAAGCTCTTTTAACTTCTTGGAGAGATAGTTTCATTGTATAGGATCATCTTTTCTTTTTGGGCTTGGAAGCCTTGTATTTATAAAAACTCTGTAAATACCATTCTTTCATTTAATAGAAAAACAAAAAAAAAAAAGGTAGGGGACTCCCCTGCTGATTCGGTCAAAAAAATATCCCTTTTTCAAAACAGTATATTCTCTCTTTTCACAACAGTGCAACTCTTACAATACAAATAGCTATTCAGCCAATTCATAAAAATAGATTTATGTTCAAAGATTTCATATTAGATAATGATAAAGAATTGAGATAGTTACCTCTTTGTTTCCATGCACTTAAGAAGCGCCGTGTTACTTTGACAATGCTCTGCCCCTGAAGAATTAAAACTGCACAAACTACAACCTCCCCAATTGAATCTGGAAGGTCAAGGCCAAAATACTCAAGCCCATGCGTCACATCAGGCTTGGACAAATGAAGGTGTGCTATAACATATAGTGCTATGGCAATAGAGAATATGAATGTGAAGTTCCCGAGAAAGCGGACAATCAACCGCCAACCTGTTTCCTTTTGTGCATGTAATGAGGCTAAAATCTTTTCTTTGTTTGAATTAGCATCATCAAGCTCGGCTACTTTAAGCTTCTGGTTTAGTACTTCAGAGAACTGCGCATAGCCTTCGGCCATGCCTTGTTTTGCACCATTCTCAATCATTCCTTTTATCATTGTGCTCTGAACAAAGTTTACCCTCCAGCTTACAGTAAGATGAGATGTTTGCTCTTCAGATGATAGATGGGGACCTGGTGTGATACAGTACAGTATCTCCACCTTGAAGCAATTTCCGCAGGGAACATCAGGAGTGCTGACAACAGAAAACACCGCGTAAGAATTTGCGGCTGCTTTCAGGTACTTCTGTTCTTCTGTGGCTTTCACAGCTTTAACCAACTTGCTTGCAGCTTTTGTGTAAGTCAATGTTCTTTGCACACAGCTCTCATTGCTGTCAAGTTTCCATGGTTCAATCTGAAACCCACTTGTTCCCTGAAGCTCTGCCACTGCTGGCCAGAAGTCTGAATTCGGAGAGAACAGGAGAGAATTCAACTCGGTCGGCGCGGCGACATAAGATTCGTCAACCAGCACACCACCAGGCAAGTTGACTGGCATCTCACTGCCTTGATCTTTCGACTCCATGACTTTGAGCAGCTCATCAAGACTTGACTCAGGTACCACCGTGCCTTTCTCAGGGATTTCACGATCTTCTGATGAGCTCGCGTTTGGCTCTTGCAACTGATGATCAACTGGCTGATCAGTGTCTGATGCAGTCGGAGGCTGCACAGTAGGAGCAGCATTCTCAGGTTTCCTGAAGAAATAGCGGGACAAGACCTCTACCACCGATGACGGATTTGGCGGCGTTGCATCAGTGTCTGCAGCTGGTGGTCCAGGTTCAGAGGCTGCCTCTTCCACGCTACTCCGGGCTGGAAGATCCAGAATGCTGTCCGGGAATCGTTCGAAGCTGCTGTGAGATGCTCGGGGTTCGATGCTGGAAACGGCTGATAGGTCGATGCAGCTACATGTTGTCGATAATGTTTTGCGCTCAATGGGGCTGTCTGAACTGGATGCTAAGTCATCTGAAGCCGGATGAGGAACACTCTGTGATTCGTCAGATACGTGGGTTCTTGTGGACAATGATACGTGCAGACAAACTTCTCCTGCAATAGCATAGAACAAAACAACATAATTTGCGTTGTGGATAATATGGCGAAAAATGAAAGGAAGAGCAGAAGTAGAAGAATGTCGAGAAACCGCGCAACTGCGATGATACCGCGGCATTTCTTCTTGGACTTCTTGCTCTTGGGCTGGAGCTGGTACCACTGGGTGCCGAGGGAGAGGTCGTCGGTCTCCATGACCTGCGACAGCGGCACCCGGACCAGGCCCAGCAGGTCGTTGCTGAAGTACTTGTCCTCGTTGAGCACCGACACCACCAGCTCCTCGGCGACGTCGCCGACGAGGAAGCTGAACTCCTCGTCCCAGGCGGGGGCCAGGCTGCGCTTCACGACGGCCGTCTTGGCGCGGCGCTTGCCCAGCTTGAGCTTCACGAAGGGGTCGCTGGAGCCGTTGAGGTGCACGGCGGGGAGGCCCCGCGCCTCCACCACGCGCACCAGCAGCTTCATCGGCGCCACCCGCCGCGCGCTCTCCGCCGCCGCCACCGCCTCCGACACCGTCGACGCGCTCCTCGCCGCCGGCTTCGTCATGCATGCATGCGAGGATCCCGCCGACGGTGGTGATCCTTATTTGGATTTCCGGCCGTGGGGTCTGTAGAACGAACTGGCGGTGAGAGCGCGGGCGGGAGAGGTGGGGGAGGACGGAGGAGGGCGTTTCCCCGCGGCCGAGCGTTCCACGGTTTTGTTTCGAGCCGTTGCTTCGCCGGCAGGATTCGTGCGCGGGAGGATGGAGACGCTGCTGACCGTCGGATCGGCTAGAGCATTGGGAGCATGCAGGCTCCGTGCCGCATGGGCTGCTTCAGGTTCAGGTTTCCAAACATAGGCATGCATGCCATGGGGACAAAAACTGATGACGAACCAGGTTCCAATCAAAGACCTTACGCCACTGGCGATTGGGTCCCACGTGCCACGGCCACTTTCAAATCAAGGAAGAAACCAAACCAAACATAGGCGAGAAGCCAGCTATGCACGTGGCACACGAGACTTCATTATCAACGTGATCAGCTTCAGAGAGAATTTGCTCCGATAAGGTATGCCAAATGCCCCTAATATCTGTTGGCTTGCTTGCGGTCATAACTCATGCATGCATGGACCGTTTTCTTGCATCAGCAATGATGGATCTCAGCTCTGTTAGCTTCATCGGTTTCAACGTTCACGTCGATGCAACAGATTATGTAGATTGACTAATTATTTAATTAATCGTGTGTATTTATAGAGTAGCCGGCCGTGTTTTTATCTGGACAGCTGGCTTTAAGAGAGAAAAAAAGGAATCAGAGGCCTACAGGCCTAAACTGTAGGGAAGAAGAAAGATGGATCGAAAACCAATCACTTTTTCAATAGTATATGGATAGGATATGAGAGAGAGAGAAAAAGATAGAGAGATTCTAGATGACTAAAATTGAAGATTGGAAGCACATACTGCTAAATTAAATACAGAGAGAATGCAAGCAGCACAATAGATGTTCTAAAGATTTGACTAAATAAGCCATTAAATACAGAGAGAATATTTTTCTCTCACAACAAATCAGCATAATAGATATTCCAACTTATCAGATTTGAACAGGGCATTGGTGCTGTGTCGAACTTTTCTCATCAGTTAAACAATATCAGACTCGTCAGTTACTAATAGTGCTTCTTGATGTTACTACTTCTCTAGGATTGTAGGATTGTTTGCAAGTTCAGCCCCCATGCCAAGAGGCGAAGACAAATCCGTCCCCGCACCTGCAGATTCCGTGGCCCCGTCGCCAGCGCAGAGGGCTCGTCCTTGGCGGCAAGCATCGGCGAACACGAACCTACGGCGGGAGTGCATCAGCAAGCAGCGTGAATCTTGAAGGCGTGCCTGTACCACCGTTTCAACGTCCGATTTACATCAAACAGTGGAGAAGTACAGGACGCGTGGCTAAATGAGCTGCTAGATCTCATGGTGCAAGTTTCGTCTATTAAAAAGATTCGACGTCTACATGCTACACCCATGCCCCAACTGCCACATGTCCCCCCACATCCATCCTGGAATCTATCTGATGAAACTAATAAGTAAATAAATAAATCAAGAGTGATCCCATGGCGTCTGGATGAGAGCTCTTCCGCCCAAGATTAGATGAATACAACCTAACACAGTTTGCACTATGATCAGACCCCCCTTCAATCCTTTCCGAAGTCAGCGCTGTAGTGCGCACTGGACTCGAGCTTCTTAGCGTCGTTCAGCTTGCGCACGGCCTGAAACAATTCCATCATAAAGGGAAGGGGGAGGCACGGTTAGCACCAAGCAAGCTCTGTTCAATAGAAGAAAATTAGGGTATGCAAGTGCACCTTCATGAAGTCCTCGTGAATTACATAGTCACGCTCCGCTCGGATAGCAGCCATGCCGGCTTCAGTGCAGACGTTGCGCAGATCGGCTCCGTTGAAGCCCTGTAATAGATCGCAAGAGCTAGGGTTCAGGAGATAGCTCCAAATCAGGTTAAAGAGTTTACATAGCTAGATCGACTAAAGATTAACTCACTTCAGCTAGTTTGACTACAGCTTCATAGTCAATCTCGCCATGCTTCGCGATGCCAGCTGCATGGATCTTGAGGACCTCCATCCTCCCCTGTTCATTCGGCAGTGGGATCTCAATCTTCCTGTCCAACCGCCCAGGACGAAGGAGTGCGGGATCCAAAACATCAGGCCGGTTGGTTGCCATGATCATTTTCACCTATATAAACAAGACAAGAGTGTTTTTGTGAGACACTATGCAAGTAGACAGACAGCACTGAAAATATTACGACAAGCAGTAAGGGACAACCAGCATCATCTTAATAAAGTCTATAGCTTTCTACACCAAAATTGTAAATCTGGAACTATCACTTGTTGGCAAGAAGGACAACATTGCAAATGACTGATTATGTAGCTGTATTCTGTGACTACTGTATGAGGGCAGAAGGATTGATTCGAACAAAGAATAATAATTCTCTTCTCACAAATTGTGAATCGCTTTTTGCATCATGCAAATGCAATATGAATCTACAGCAATTGATGAACGAATTTAGAAGAAAAAAAAACTTTCATGTCACTATGTACCAGTTCCAAGAGATGAATAGCAGGCAAATTAATATGAAAAAACCTTCTTAATATCATTTCCACAGAAAAGGCATACCTTCCCAAGTTCGTCGAATCCATCTAGCTGATTTAGAAGCTCCATCAATGTCCTCTGAATCTCACGATCTGCACTTGTGCCCTCACTAAATCTTCGGCCACCGATGGCATCAATTTCATCCATGAAAATGATGCATGGCTAGGCAGTGAGATCAAACCAAAGACAACACTTTAGAGAAATGACATTTACACAGATTATGCACTTTGATGTAAAAGATAGACAAATCATCCACGGGTGTGCATATTTCCAGTTTTTTTACAAGTAAACAAGCCTGCATGCTAACTAAAATGCAAAAGGTTGTTTCCCAATTTATCCTTGGCAATGTACATTTACTCATTTAGAGCTGGAGATGCTCTGCACTAATACCTTACTTCTTCTACTTTCAGTCTTTCACTAATGAATGGACTCTTTATAGTTATCTCAAGTTCATGTTGACACCTTCCCCACAACAACAACAACAACAACAACAACAACAAAGCCTTTAAGTCCCAAACAAATTGGGGTAGGCTAGAGTTGAAACCCAGCAGAAGCAATCAAGGTTCAGGCACGTGAATAGCTGTTTTCCAAGCACTCCTATCTAAGGCTAAGTCTTTGGGTATATTCCATCCTTTCAAGTCTCCTTTTATTGCCTCTACCCAAGTCAACTTCGGTCTTCCTCTGCCTCTCTTCACGTTACTATCCTAGCTTAGGATTCCACTACACACCGGTGCCTCTAGAGGTCTCCGTTGGACATGTCCAAACCATCTCATGTTGACACCTTCCCCAAGATAAATAAATGAGTCAGGATAGCTAGCTATACATACACAGATAACAAAACAAAGCAAAGCTTACCTGATGCTCACGTGCATAGTTAAACATTTCACGAATTAAGCGTGCACTTTCACCAATATATTTATCAATGATAGCACTTGACACAACCTGTTCAAAAGGTCCACATCAATGAAAAAACAATAAATGCTTAATATATGTCATAAGTTACTAGCAAAAGTTCCAGACCTTCAAGAAATTAGCATCAATGTTGCTAGCAATGGCTCTAGCTAGGAGTGTCTTCCCAGTTCCAGGTGGACCGTAGAGCAGCACACCCTTGAATGAGTAAAGTAACATTTAGTACACCCCAGGATCATGAAAATGGGCAGCCATCAATTTGAAGCTTTGAGATAACTATGTGATATTGTATTCCAAAGCAAATTTATTTCTTGAATTACCTTTGGCGGCTTAATTCCGACACGGAGAAACAATTCTGGGTTCATAAGTGGTAACTCAATGGATTCTCTGAGTTCCCTTATTTGATCTGACAACCCACCTACAGCTGAGTAACTAACATTGCCAGGATCTTCATGTAGCATGTTGTAAACCACAGGGTCAACCTGAGAAATAGGAATAAGAACAATAATGCATCAGGGATTAATAATATCCAAGTCATATATAGTAACTAATACAAGTTGACCAGGTTGCGATTGAGGGATGCAGGTGTCTAAAAAAGAAGGAAAGGCAAACTAGGCTGCTATAAAATACAACTCGACCAGGTCAGGATTGAGGGAAGCAAGTGTCTAAAAAAGGAAGAAAAGGTAAACTGGGCTGCTGTAATGATGGCCCCTCTAGCACATTGTCCACCTAGGTAGTCCTAAGTCCTAACTCTTCCTCTAGTCTACCCATCCTGATCTCTTTACTCTTTCTCTCTCCGCACCAAGGGAACCCCGCCACCTGCCACTAATCCATCAATCCCATCAACCCGACTCCTGTCGTTACGGTCCAAACTATTAAGTTTGCAAATACACACCGACCACACAGGCTAAATTTAAAAAGGTAATCAAACATACACGGGACACATAAACAAAACAATCTGTAACAAACATATACCTCACGAGGTAGAGTGCACATGATGGTAAGTGTTGTCATGTCAAGAACAACTCGTGTACCAGCAATCAACTTTTCTTTGTCAACTTTACTTCGGCAGGCAACAACATAGCGTGGTCCACTGCTAGCCTTGACAATAACTCCAAAAAGGACATGTTTCAGTTGCTTTGATAAAACTAGGTAAGTTATTAATCAGTTGAGAAGCAACAAGTCTTTAGCATGAGTGCAATAAAAGTTCATGTTTTTGTAAACTTCTAGGAAAAGGAATATGCAATTGAAGATCACATGAATAATCCATCTATGTTTCATTATTCCTAAAAATAAAGTTTTGCACAAACATAAGGATTTTTTCACTTACATCGTTCCTTGTCCAAAGGTCGAAGCACCTCACCGATAATTTGGCCAACACTTTGCAATGATTTTAGATCCTCTTCAGTTTTTTCCAAGTTCTTCTTTGCATTTTTTAGGTTCTCCCTCCCTGAGTGCAAATATACAAGTTCATCACAAAATCAAGATAACAAAAGTATCAGGTATATGCTATCAGTAAGAAAATGTCTGCTGTCACATCTATCAGTTACAAGCATAACAAAACCTGTAACATTGAAATAAAATAGTACAAGCTTAAGAGAGTCAGTCACAAGAGAGACCACACACTGATGGAGCATCGAGGAAAAGGAGGAAAGAAGCATGAGTCAATCAGCATGTCAACAGCGCCACACTTAAAGGTGCACCGAATAAGTCATTTCACACGCAATAAATCATAGTACTTTGATACACACTTTTGAAGTTACATAGGCCCATATTCATAAACCTCCTCCAAAACTAGTTTAGTAGCCCAAAATGCTGAATGGAGCTGCTCTCGGACTACTAAAAGATAAAGTGCGACTATATATAACCAAATAACCAACCTGACCTGCCAAAAAACACTAAACAACACGAAACTAGGACTCCAGCATGAAAGGTAGAGTGACTACCTAGAATCTCAATTACTGGAGCTAACAACTCTTATTTTTCCCCAAAACATTAACTCGAAACTAAACTCCAAAATATGTATCCTCGGCAGGTCCGGACACGGCACCCGCAGGCAATTACAGAATGAATGATCAGCAGCCATTAACAAAATGCAAGCTAACCGGAAAGAGGAAATCTACCAAGTGATCACCAAGAACTAACATCCAAAGATTTCTCCGACTTGTAAAACCCACCAGAGTTCATCTAAACCCTAGACGAGAACCTATTCTAACGCGAAAACTCTAAATGAGGCTGAACCGCCAAAAACATGCCACCCCTCAGACCCAAATTGAGGCGGCCAAAACCCTATCCCGCCGCCCTAGTACCGTAACATCCAGATCCCCCACGCGCGATCACCGCTTGCCAAAACCTCGACACCGAACCCTAGAGACGGACGGGGACATCCACGCACAGGGGAGACGGGCGGAAGAGGATGCGGCGGCGGTGGCGTGTTACCTGTTTTGACCCGCGCCTCGAGCTCCCGGCAGGTGAGGAGCTTCTTGCGGTGGTAGTCGGTGACTGCGGTGCGGCGGCGCGCGTCCTCCTCGCCCTCCGCCATCCTCCTCCACCACCTCCCTCCGGGGATCTACCCCTCGTCGGCTTCGGCTGTGGCTGTGGCGGTGGCGGTGGCGGTGGCGGTGGCGGCGGCGGCGCGAGGCTTTGCTTCTTGTAATCTTGTGCTTCTTCTCTCGCAAGAAGGAGGAGAGGAGAGGAGCGGAGGCGGACTCACCGGGGTCGAGCGAACCGGGGGCGAGCTGAGGTGGAAAAAGAATTGTAAACCGGATTTTTTGTACTACTAATAAGTAATAGTAAGTATATAAAAAAATAATCTCCCCTGTGATTATTTTTTTGAAAATCCCCCATGTTTGTTTTTTTAGCAAAGAAAATCCCCCATGCCCCCTTTTTTTACTCACGGCCACGGGAACTCCGAATCCCTATCATGATTTTTTTTATGCGAATCCGTATCATGATCAATCATGATATAAGCCGGAGAACGACCTCGGGCTCGGGGTTCCTGCTTTCCTTCCCTCTCGGTTCTCGCCAATGGCCATCGTGGGCAACTGCGAATTGCAACCGTAGCATCACTAGGCCTCTTCAAATCTTTGCCCATCTTGGCAATTGACGCAGAGCGCTTTTATCAACCGGAGCCCAAGGCCCCGCCCGCAGCTCTGGCCCTCTCTCTTGACATGGCTGAAGGTACTTTTAGCTAGTTTATTATGAAAAAAATATATTATTTATTAATTAAAAAAAATACGATTTATAAACTAAGTAAATAGAACTTCTGTCCTCGTTGGTTTTTTTTTTACCATGTCGGATGTTATGTTATGCACACCGACACCGACGACGACGAGAGCTGTCAGTCATGGTGAATAAAAATAAACTGCAAGGCGCGCTTTTGTCTTCATTCTTCGTTGTGGCCTGCTGTTCTTTCTTGTATATACCCGATGTATGCATTTTTCTAGTACATGTACTGTCGCTTTGGCTTTGCTCGTGTCGTGTCCTTTTGTTTCTCAAGTCTGAACTGAACTGTATGAGACTCCAGCTCCGGTCCGTCATTCATGTCAAACTCAGCTTTTGGATCCGGTCCATCTTTACAGGAGAACTTTTTTTTATATATCCTTCTTTATTATTTATAAAAATAAAGAATTTGGTAAAACATGACTGACTCCAACAGAGTAGACATAGCGTGACCCAAACCAAAAATACGTTGTACACAGTGTTTTAGCGGGACAAAAACAGTCTCCAACAGTGTAGACAAACATGTGATCCATTTTGGGTGGGAGGCGACGCCAAACACAAATAAGGGTCTTCTCTTCGTTTTTTTGCGTCTCCACGCAGGGCCCACCACCACGAGATCCGCACAGGAGCCCGGTCCGGCGAGAGCAGCGCCTCGGAGTCGCCGCACCGGAGCCGGCTCAACGCGGCGGCCGCGCGGGTGGCCGACCTCCTCGCGCTCACGCTCGCGGACGCGGGGCCCGCGCTCGCCGACGAGGGCGACGCGTCCACTGCTACGGTCACCGCACACCTTGACGCCGGCGTCGCGCTCCTTGACGCCTGCAACGCCATCGCCGTGCGCCTTGACCGCCTCCGCAGGCGCCGCCTCCTCGCGCTCCACCTCCTCCTCATCCGGGTCCGCACGGGCTCGCGCGCGCTGCGCCCAGCGTCATCCCCATCCCTTTTGGCGTCGCTCCCTTCGCTCCCATTCGAGCAGCCCCCGCAGGTGTCTCTCGGCGGCCGGCAAGGTGGGCGCCTTTTACGAGGGCGTCTGCAGGCTCGTGTCGCCGCTGGACGCCGGCACCGACGACGAGGTAGCGGTGCGCGCCACGGCGCAAGAGGTGGAGAGGCGCACGGAGGAGCACGCGACGCGGCGAGGCGGGACCAAGGCGGGGAGTCGTCGACGCGGCAAGGCGTGTCCGTGGTGCTCGGAGGGGCTTGGTGGGCGGCGTTGTGGTTTCTCTTTTGCGTCCTATGTTGGAAAATGGAAGTTTCGGGTGCCTAGCCATTCTCCTGTGCGCGACCCAATCTATCAAATGCGTCTCGCATTTATATTGGGGCTGTTGGAGACAGTCTAATGACTTCTTTAATTAGATTTCCAATATTACTATAATTTATTTTGAATTTCTTGTTAACTAAAAATAGAGAGCGATATTGGCTCTCTAGACTGTACATAAGATATAAAAAACTTATCAAGCATGAAACAATATAAAAAATGATTTTTGTTCAAACGACACTTCGGGTGGCTAGCAGCTAGGGTGCTTTTGCGGGGAGCCAGCATGGCCTTGCCTTGTCCCCATCCCCCTCGGCCGTCACCACGCGGTGGATGACCTTCCTCGACGCCGTCTGCTCCGAGGATGCCGGCGCCGTCACCTCTGCCTCGCTCGCTGCGTTCCACGAGGTCATTTCCCCTCACAGCTCCGCGCTCCGAGAGGTATCGACGCGGGGAGGAGCATCTGCAGCTGCAATGTCGCGCACTGCGGCTGATCGGTGGAGAAGAAACAGAGGTTCCGGCCATAGGAGATGTTCACCGGAGAAGAAACAGGATGAACAATGAAGAGTTGGATGTTGAAAGCAAGGGTAGGAAAAACATTTCGCCCACTTTTCTCTCTTGAAATATGAGAAATAAATAAAATAATTGGTGCGATGTGTTTGATAAATAAACAAACTTTCATAATGGAGTGGGCATATTTCGATGTTGGCGGTGTAAATTGGCAAATTTCCATTGAAGTCGGATGTCCTGCAGCAAAAATTGCTTTTGTCTTATCTTATCTAATAATCTATGAATGAAATTCACTGTAGAGAACGCCTCAAGCCGACGGTTAAAAAAAAGAGAGTTCTACAATCATGGGTTTACAAATTCATGGATATTAAGGGTCTGTTTGGGACATCTTCACCAAGTCCAGACCCACCAAATTCTAATCCAGATCCAAAAAGGTTTGTCAAACACCTCTAACTTCACTAGCTCCACTAGTAGATCTGATCCACCAAATTGGTGAATCTGCTCTCAGATTCACCAAATTAGTGGAGCAACTCAAAGGGTGCTCCACTTGATCCACCTTTAGTGAAGTTGGAAAAAATTACCCACCACTGCCACTAGTTACATACAAATAACGCTTCGATTCGTTATGTTTCTCGTCTTCGTCGTCACGACCGCGCCTTCCCCGCCCGCGACCCACGCCTGGCCGTCGCCGAAGCCCCGCTCGCGACTCGCTGGAGACCTCTGTCAGACTTGCACACCCCGGTCACGACCTCCGCCGGCCCCGCCACACCCGCCCGTGCGCCATGGCTGGCCGAAGCCCCATTCACGGAGGCTCGCGAGCTCCCCAAGCCGCGCACCATGGCCGACCGCGCGAGCTCTGGAGGCCGCGCGCCCGTCCACCCCGAGCGTGAGGACCCAACGCCGTCCGTGACGCCCCTCCCCGCCCGAGGTCGCTGCTCCGCCTCGCATCCTCGACGCTCGAGGGCAGCCATGGCCGCCGGTGCGTCCTGCTACAGAAGGACAGCCGCACGCCGCCCACCAGCCGGCCGTGCGCCGCTCCCCACTCCCCAGCGATGCTCCGCTCCGCTCCGCTCTGATCTCATGAGTAGGAAGATGAAGATAGAGGGGATGAAGTGCTGACGTGTGGGACCCACGTGGAAGTGAAATAGAGATAAAGGTGGAGCTGTCCCAAACAACTCTAGCTCTGTCAGCTCCACAAGTGGAGCTGCTCCACTAGTAGAGCTGCTCCACGGTGGATCTAAGATCCACTTTTTTGCTTGGTGCTCCTCTTCGGCTCTGGCTCTGGTTTTTTTTAGAGAAGCCCTACTAAACATTTCATAAGAGGAGATATTTTTTAGCGAAAAATATAGAAGAAGTCGGAACTGTTTTGGAACGGCTCCTCCAAGAAGCCCCACGAGGACACGCCTGACAAGCACTCCTAAGTTGATTATTAAAGGACTTGTAAATTAATTTTTTGAGTAAGTTTTTGAGGTGCGCGTGCGTTGCTCGCACCCTACTCCACCTAATATTCCAGAGGAGGATCTTAGCATGTGCAGCAGATCGACTTACGCTCGCGCGTGGACCTATGGGACGGCGTCCACGCTGTGGAGCACATGGAAAATACGTAGCTAGACAGTCATATTCTTTTTTTTAATCATCAGATGTGCTCGGCCACTTGGCATCTTTTCATATGAGGAGCATCTTTGCTCAATGCTTAAAATGGACTGGAATATATCCATGTCTACTTTTCTCAAATAAATGACCTTTCTTTTTTCCTGTTTTGCTTGGGCTTGGCCCAGCACGACTGAAACCCAGTCGTCTTAATTAAATTCAAAATTCAGAAGGTGGCACATCATACACCTAACCCCCTGACATCCAAATCATGCTTTGACTAGTTGGGCTACATGAGTCATGAGTGTAACCAACAAGTTAAACATCTAGGGCCTGTTTGATATAGGGCGCAAGGGTGGCTCGGGCGGCTGGCCTGGTTGTGGCCAGCCAAAGCATGGCTCCCATGGTGCAACACCTCTTGTTTGATAGGTGAGCCAGGTTAGGTTGGGATTGTGTTTGATTTGGTGTACAAGATGGATAGGATGACCTTGCATTTGGAATACGGTGAAGTTACCCTCCTATTTCTCTTTTTGGCATTCTATCGAGCACTTGCTAGGCGCCGACAAGGAACACGAGTAGGAACAGCACCACCGCGATGAGCTTGAGTCGGCAACGGCGGAGGCAAGTTTGGCGGCAACGGCAGACGACAAACAAGCCCATGGCGCCTCAAATGCGAGCAAGCTCGAGTGGCCCTCCATCTCCACCGGCCCTAGCATCCTAGAAGAAGATGGTCGCGGGCAGGAGGAAGAAGATGCTAAGGGAGAGGGAGACCTCGACCTACGCCGTGAGCGGTGGGTCCTGCGGTCGTGGAGAAATTGCAGAGCGGAGGGATCCTGGTGAGGGAGCATAAGGCGACCTCCGCGTAGGGACCGGAACTCGAGGCGGTCCAGCAGCGTGATGGGCACCATGAACCGGCGCTGCCGCTCGAGCACGTACAACGTGAACTGGCCCCGCGGCACGTCGGACGGCAG